GATTTACCTGTGTTTAGGTATAAATTTTCAGTAAAGATTAATTAAGGAAGAACATAACCAAAAGAAATCATTTATGAATTTCATGGAAGTAAACAAAATTCAAAAGACAGGAAACATGTAATAATAATACATTGTAAACAACAGTTTAAGTCTGAGGTAGTATATTTTGAATAAATGTGATTATGGATTTATCAATCATGACACTTCAGCATACTTTTCAAGTTTTAGCAATATAATATGCTTTTACAAAAAGATATACAATTTTTTTAAAATTTTGAATAGGATTATTTGCCTGGGGAGTAGTGACTACGCTTGCTATTATTCTGATTTTAATAAGAAGACTATTGATGTCTCAGCTACAATGTCACTGCTCCCTCCGCAATCAACAAACATCAGAACAACAGTCTCCACTACAGACATCTTCCGTGTAAGTGCAAGACAATCCTGTATACACACCACCAAGCACTGTAAGCTCAACAAGACCTTTGGTTTCGAATTCTCCACAAGAGGAAGCCATTTCCTCCCGCACAAGGTCTAAGGCCTTGAGAAAATTGTCATTGTAATTGGTCATGTACCCTGTATATCCATTTCTAAAAAAAGAATGTCTTTTGGGGAGAGGGTACAATTTTGTTTCATTGTTTTTTTTTTTGTAGATGTTCACTTGCTTTTTTATGTACTGATACATAACTTTTCATATACCTATCTGCAAGTGTAGAGTGTGTTTTTAAACACGTTTACTAATTTTTTTTCCAGCTTTTTGTGAACTGGTATATACATGTATCTATATATAAGTGAAGAGAGTACATAAATGACAGGATATATTGTAATGTTGGAAGAACCCATCTCTGAGGCTTGAAACCTTTTTCTATGACAAGTGTTTTTATTAATATTTTTTTTCATACTGACTAGATAGGTAGTCATATCATGTTGAAATACCTCAGTTGTGCGGGTTTTTTAGTTGAATTTTTTTATTGTAATTTGATGAATTACAAAGTGGATCTGTGTTATCTTGCTTAATGTCATATGGTATATGTTGAAATACCTCGAAGGAAAGAGTATGAGCCATTTTTATTTTAGTATTATGTTTTTTATGTTTTGGTTTTCTTAACATTCCTATTTTGTATTGTCCATTAACTTGCAATTTTGAATAGATAATATGGGTTATGAAGAACAGAATTCGGGGAGGAAAAGATGTCTTGGTATAAATGCTTCCAACAAAAAAAAATGCAAAATCTTTTTATGAGTATAATACAAATGACTTTTTTTCTGAACAAAATAATTTTCTATGAAAAACATTTATTACACTAGTCAGATAATACCACAATGAATTGTGAAACAGCAGGGTATTTTTTGATTTTTGAATTGTATAGGTTTTTTTTTATGTATTAATCATTTTAATGTTTTTTTTAGAATCTTAAAGGAAAAATTAAAAAAAATTTAATTTCATTTATTTAAGCAATGCACAATTTTCAATTGAACTGCTATTTAAGTATACCATCAGACATTTTTTACTTCCATTTTTTTATCTTCATATTTTTTTAATGTTGCAATATAACTTGGTTAGTGAGATTTTACATTTGTTTTTCTTATTCTCTTTTAAAACTTTTTTTCTCCTTTTTTTTAAAAAAGTAGTTGATATCTCTTTAAGGATCACAATAAGTTGATCTAGTTTAAAGACAATCAGTAAGAATTTTCTTTGAAAACCCCAAGTTTTAAAAAAAATTATTTAGCTTAAATCGTTGTACACATTTATATAAGGTTTGGAACAAAATGTAATGTTTAATAAAAAATACACCACAATGATTGGCAAGGGGAAAAACCATTAGACTGTTTACTTGACGTACAATCCAACTTGTATATTTTGTCAATAATATTTTTTAAAACTTGATGTTTTAATTACAGCCAGAAAAGTTGTAAATTTTATTGTTTTATTAAACTGTTTCTAAAATAAAGAATTAGTATTATCATTTTAATGAATTGATGCCAGTAAATATAAGATATTCCCAGTTTTGTTCTAAAGAATACAAATTGTATTGCAGCATGTGTTAAAGGATATAGATTTGATTTGATAATGACAACAAAATTTCTAGAGATTTAATTTTCATTTTTTTTTAAAACTCAAGTTATGGCAGATGACAGCCTTTTAAAAGAAATCCTGAACTCCTTGAATGATCCGGAAACTGTGAAGTTTTTTGCTGCAGCCAATAGTCTTGTTGGTGATGCTGAGGTTGAGAAGCGATTAAGAGAACTTGAATGGGAAAAGCATGTTGATACGTTGTGGCGTGAGGTTCTACCAGACATTGAGACCCCAACAAAAAGACCTCGACAAAATCTGCATGATGATGACCAATTATCTAATAGTGGGCAATTGGGGGCTGGGGATCATTCTAGCCAAGAGAGTAAATTGAAACCCTTTTTCATATGGAAAAGAGACACCAGAACGTTTAAGAAAAATTTAGCCCGTGACACTTCGTTCAAAGTGAAATTCAATGAGCAATGGCAGGGGGAAAAATTACTAGATATTCAGAACAAATTTCAAGATATGTTCGATGACCTGTTGTCACAGGCCAAGGGACATGATGCAGTTTTAGGAAGAGTGGTACTCAGTCATCCGAGTTTGAACAACCCTATTGTGGTTCCCCTGCAGCCATGGGAAAACCTCAATGCGGAAACTGTGATGTCGGAGATCACTAAAGTATTGAATTCAAATGAAGGTATACCTGTGGATGAAAACCTGCTTGTCACTATAGGGTCAATTGATTTGCCAAAAGGGGGTGGGGGTGCAACAAAATTACCTATTACATCCCTTTTTGGTCCAGAGAATAGTTTAATGAAAAAAAGAGCAATTTTTTATGTGGAAAACGATAACAATCTTTGCATGGCTATCTCAATAGGCCTTTGTTACCTTAAAATGTGCAGGAAAGTAAACGGCAATACATGGCGCCACTTAATCGGGAGTGATACAGGAACGATGTTAGATCTTGCAATCAAGCATCAAACTATCCCAAAATCATATTATGACAATATGTTAAAAAAAATCTCGTCGAAAAATGCAAACTGAGATGGCAATCCAGCTTTGTGAAAAAGCTGGCGTGCCTACCACGAGGTATTTGGGTTTAAATGACATAGAATCATTTGAAAATTTGCTCGATGTCTGTATTAACGTCGTGTCGTCTAGAGTAGGAAACAAGTTTGTCAGGGTGACGGACGACCAAGGAAAACCCCGCCTCTATTTGTATCACGTGGAGTCGGAAAAGGAAAAACATTGGCATGGCATCGCAAATATACAAGGCTTTTTTAAAAAGTCGTATTTTTGTCACACTTGTTTAAAACCATACAAAGAAAAATACCAACACTCCTGTTCGACCTCCTGTGACGTGTGTTTGCATGATCACTGTCCAGAAACGGATATCCGATTAGGATGTCGTTCTTGCAGTCGTGTGTGTCGGTCACTTGAGTGTTTCAATAGACACAAGGTAAGCAAAGTGGTAAAAAATGACAACATTCCACCAACATTGAACTTGTTTATTTAGTTGAACCCTAAAACAATTTGGTTTGTTGTCAAAATATTCCAAACTGTCTGTTAACGTCAGTATCATACGAACGCTCATCTAAAATAAAGCAACTTCTTGTTCGGTTCTTCTATTTATTTACTTTTTTCAAGAGAATTCTCTGAAATCCATGAGTTAAATTTTTTAGGCCAACCCTCCCACTTGACGTACACCTCTGTGTTTTTTCCACGTTGTCTTTTCTTAAGAACTTTTTCAACTCTATACAGAATATCATCCGACTTGAAAACTTTTTGAAGTTCTGATTCATAAAAAATGTACCATCTATACCATCTATTGGGTCATCTGCTAAATCGTTTATTTTATATACAGAAATTCCGTCCCTCTTGTAACGCTGACTTATTCTAAAGAATTCTTCCGTCCATTTTTGTTGATAATCTTTCTGGAATGGGTGTTTAATCTGAGATATACGTACATTATCCCCTATCTTGAACTTGAAAGTTGACATTTTCTTTTTTCTCTGTTTACTCTTCACCATTTTGTTTTGATTTTCTATATTTTTGGAATCAGAGCGAATCTTCTTTTTTCCAGCCAGATAGGCAGATAATCTTATTTCGTCGACATTTTGAGGGTTTACTTCTGAGGGTGTTATTCCACCCAAAGATCTATGAGGTCGCTTATTGTAAGTTTTGACTAAATCTTGTAAAACGTCTAAGTACCGATAAGTTCTATTTTTAAGAAAATAACGATACATTAGGTTTTTCATAGTTCGAATAACTCTTTCAGCATAATTTGCTTTTGTTTCATTCTGAGTGTATATGTTACTGATATTCTCTTTTTGTAGAAATGCTTTAACCCAACGATTTTTGAATTCACTTCCTTTATCTGTTCTTAATGTGTTTGGTTTTCGTCCTGTTTGAAAAGTTTTTTTCAAACTATCAATAATGGTTTGATGGTGCTTATTTTTCAAAGGCACCACAAACAAAATCGACTGAATATATCTATCAACACAAACAAAAATTGAAAACCATCATTGTGAGAAGAAATGTTGCTAACATCAGCCAAATCTCCGTCCCACATAGAGTCAATCGTGTCCACAACTACCTTCGAACGAGGAAATGACCTACGAATAGGTTTAAGCAGACTGTAGGGGTCCTCATTGTTCAAAAATTGTCTAATTTTTTCTCTTCCAATTTTGTGTTTTCCATCGTTTTTAACAGATTGGTATAGCTTTTCAGGACCTGCAAAAGCACCAGGATTTCCAGGCGTGTAGTATAATTTTCTCAAGTAATCCGTGTATTTTGACATACTGGATCTAAATGAGGTTTTACTTCTATTTGTGTTCTCTTAAATACCAAGGTAATAACCACGCAGATATATCTTAATATACAAACTTTTATTAAACGATTTTTAAAAAATTCACATATACAGAGTACGTAAACATGTAACTAAATATAGTACATCAAAGTCAGCATTTTATAAAGATTTAAATTATTCAATGTCATTTTCGATTATTTGTAAGTCTTGTACATCATCGACGTTGCATTCTAGGGATACATTGTCAACCTGGGATTCGAATCCAAAGGGAGTACACTCCGGACAACTTAGCATACCAAGTTGGTTTTGATGTGAATCACTCAACATACACAGTTCTACGTCATTAAGCTTGGGAACATATTCTTTCATTTCATCAACAACTTCTAATAGTTTGATCAGCTTATGTATGTTTAGAGTAACGCCTTTCTTGGTTGGTATTGGTTCCTGTGCGTCGACTGGTTTCCAAAAGTGTCTTATGTCCACTGTGGAATAAATAGGATTTAGGGATACGTAAACACCCCCACCAATATGCCATTTCATTTCTCCATCTCTGTTGGTGTTTTGTAGGTAACTTGCTATTTCTGGTAGAAGTGACTCAAATTTCAGCCATCGGGCAAGAGGAAATGTAACCCCTTTCTTGGTTGGAAAAAAACGACCATTGGACACTGTAAAATGGCGAATATGAATATTGATATTTCCTTTGAAAGGCGTAACGGTCAGAGAAAGGTCATTAAAGTCATCCAGGTTAAACCGACATCGTGGCTCTTGCGGCTGTTGGCGTTTGTTGAGTTTATTCTTCGATTCTTTGCTTAAATTTGGTTTTTCCGTCATGTTCACAACCAAAGATCGGGCTGTGGCTAGCTTCTTCTCGTATTCGGTCATTGTACTGTCTTCACCAATCAAAACTTTGGAGAGTTCGTTTTGGTCAGCTTTCATCAATGCAACTTTAAGTCCTGTAAAAGCTCTTTTTCCTCGACGTAAGATGATGCTGATCAACTTTCTGTTGCGATCATAACTAGTTTTCTCAGCCTCTATCTGTTGTCTCATTTCACCTGTAATAATTCCCGAAGCAAAAAGATGTCCAGCAACATGGGTAGACATCATGTTCTTTACAAGAGTTGAGTAGTTTGCCTTGATAATGTCTTTATGTTTTTGCTCCATCTTCTTGCGTAAGGTAGAGTTAAAACAAAATATTGTGCTCCCTCTCAGGCGAAATCAGAACTGGTGATATATGCCTTCTATACCCGAGTTTATATAGGAATCAAATACAGTGACATAATTGACTGTATAATGTTCTGATTAGTAAAACATTTTCACAGTCACATAAGAGTGTCCTAACCTTAAATTATGACTGTGAATATTTTTTTTCCAAAGTACATTTCACAGTCACTAAGTATCTCCAGTATTTTGCTCCAATTTCTGAAGTAATATGGGTGATAAAACAGTCTCTATTTGTTGTATTCTTCTCTTAAAATGAGCTCTATTTATAGCATGTTCAATCCAAACTCCTTTCCGCTCCTCGTAAGGAATGTAAATTATATGTATGCAATCTCTAAACTGCACGTTTTTTTTCGGAGATTTTTCTACTCGCTGTGCTTTAAACATTACTATATTTCTGTGGTGGCTACTGATTGTCAAAAATAATTTTTTTTTAATTGAGACTGTAGCAAAATTGACTAAGGACAAAATTACATACATCGACATCACTTTTGAAGTGTGGGACTAGGTAGAGCATAACCGATCGCACTGCTTAGGAGGCTCACCCATAGTTCCGTACGAGTGTTTTCTGTCTGAAGAGAAAGATTTACAATTGCGGTAACGATAATTATATAAACCAACAGGATCTGGCAGAAATAAACGATTTCAGATTTGGGTAATTTTGCTCCCAAAAATTTCCAGTTTGTCGTTGAATCTTGACGTTGCTCCATTTTTTTTTATAATCTGCGATCAATTTCTCTAGGTCAGTGACTGTTGAATGCTATGACCTTGACATATGTTTTCATAGTCATTGACTGTTGAATAATATGACCTTGACCTAATATGTCTCAAGGTTTGTGACTGATAAATGGTATGACCTTGACTTTGACCTAAAATGTTATGACCTTGGGCTTTGACCTCCTTGACCTACATAAAGTTATGACCTTGACCTAATTTTTAAAAAAAATGTTGACTGTATAATGTACCCTTTACTACTCAGAGTTGAAAAACTGTACTTGACAAATGAATATTTTTTTAGTTTATGTGATTTAATTATCTACACAAGTAGTGTTCATTGTTACTTAAGAAAATTAATAAACGTACAAAGAAGGGCTTCAGCGTGAAAATTACAACCAAAATAAAAAAAATGCATGAAATATTCTTAAATGTTAAAAAAGAAAATGCTGAATAAACTTAAAATAATTTTAGATCAGTTTTGCTTGGGTTTTCATTACAACCGAAATATTTTATATTCTGAGAATGAAAATGTTTATGATGATTTTCCTGCAGAGGAATGCCCAAACGCGTCGTCGGTAAAATCTTTGATTCGTCACACTTGTGATGTTGACGTGTATTTCTTTGTGAGAACTGGTCAACAGACAGTTCATCCTTGTATATGTCAGTAGTTCCGTTAATTTATGCTCCGAAGCATAACTGCGCCTTATTTACATCTAGGACTTTCTAAATTGAACTTCGCACCTGATAAAGCAGCGCCTGTACACTGCTTATAGCATACACATACTTCGACTTTCGCCAATCTGTCCCCCCCCCCCCTAAGGATTTTTTTTTTCAAAGCAAATTCTTGCTTTAATACCAAATGTCGCAGATCCTTTAGGCGCATAGACAAAACTTCCTATATGTGTTGTAATCTTTCAATTTTTTTCAGTCTTTTCCAAGTTAGCCCAGACTTGCACTGTCTCGTCAACATACTTTGTTTCATCGTCTACTCTTTTCTTTGACTCATTTAAAGATTCTGTTTCCTCATGGCCAAAAAGGTCTTGATCGCCCCACTGTAAATTTAAACCCGCGCAGCTAGGTTAAGGACTTCCATGTGGTAGAGCTCATGAATATCACGTGAATTAGCTCCGCCCATTTTTATAATTATTCATGAGAAAACTTTAATACGTGTTTTATTTTTATATACTTATTTATCTATACTTTAAAGATTTGTTTTGTATGGTTTCTTATAAATGTTATTTGTTTGTTTCGTTTTGATCGCTAAATCAGCTCCATAAATGTATTTTCTATGAAATTACCGAATGTCGTTTGGAGCTGATCTACGTCGGCTCGGCGCTTTCACCGTCTCGTCACGACTGGGGCTGGCAGGTGCGTGGGAAAAGCTTGTTTCTTCCAGTGTCCTGATGGAATTTACAACAAAATTGTTGCCTGACTTGATGGTAGATGCCGAATATTTGCAGGACAGAGTTTCATTGTAAGTTTACAATTTCATTTAGACTGTTAAACCGTGATGAAATGCGTAATTTTAAGAAAATTCGCCGGAATATTGTTACAGACCACGTGGTTCATATTCTTTTTGAGGGTTCTTCTTTTAAAAAGAAGTTGTATGATTTCTTTATAGTGTGATAGCATATACTGTACATTTTTGTTATTGCATAAAAGAAGATGAAGTGATATTTTGTGTTATTATAATACTCCGAACACTCAAGTTTATCATCATTGAAAAAGTTTTAAATACTGGGGCCCCATATGGGAAGTCACAGGAGTTCGCAATTTTATCAATTCACTCGATTGACCAAGTCATGAGCTATGCGTTAGCATAGCGAACAGGAATGCAACTGTTCGCTATGCTAACGCATAGCTCATGGCTTGGTCAATCGAGTGATTTTTATTGACTTTATTGATAAAATTGCGAACTCCTGTGGGGAAGTCTAGTTTTGTAGGATTCTGCACAAGATTAGCATTTATTGTTGCACTTTAAATGAAATACCCCATGGGAGTCTGAGATTCACTGTACTGATGGTGCACAAGAGTACAAAAATATGAACAAGTGCAACTCTAAAAAAAAAAAAATGAAATTTTAAGTAACAACAACTTGAACAAGCACTGTTTTATATGGATATATATATATTTTTGGTGTGTGTTTCAGCATCAATTTCAATTGTTTATAACTGAAGTCGCACATTGACATTATAAAACATGTTAAAGCTTTAATACACAATATTTTTATTTCATGTTTCACAAAGAGTACTGCTTTATTTTATTAATGTCAAATATAACTTCTTGTTATACCTTTTAAAAAAAAGTTTCTCTATACCAATCTATGCTTAAAAAGTCTATCAATTGCAATGTTTTACTGAGCGATTAGAAAAAAAAGATGTTTGACCGCAGAGATAGATATTGGAACGCTTACGTCACACAATGTGCTGAATGATAGCTAAATCTCATTTGCATTTATTGGAACAGTAACGGAATTGACCGAGTGTAACATCAGTTTACATCACGGAAGCTAGAACATACATGTACTGTATGTCAAAAAGAATCAAAATAAATAAAAGGTATAACAAAACATTTATTGACTGAGTTCTTGGGCAAAGTGCATTTTGTCAACCCTCAAACCAAACTGTTCTCCTTCAGCCTAATGGCCTCAGACAAACAGTTTGGTTCTTGGTTAAATAAAAAGCATGTTGACCTTGAACCCTGTCAATAAATGCGTAGCATTTGGGGGGTCCAATGTTCTTGTATTTTACAGGTCATGCTTATCCATGAACCTACATCCTGACAAATAAAATAATAATTAATATTTATACATTCAATTTTATTAAATCTGCTGAATACAGGAATTTTCCACTGCCCCATGTAGGGCCAAATTTATGTCCCATTGCCAATTGCAAAAACCCTCCTTTTTTCCTAAAAAAATGAACTGTGTGTTATGGTTGGGGTTGAAAATCAAAGGAATTACAAAAGTTCTGGGTGAAGGGCTAGACAAATAGCATTCCCCAATGCCGGGGACAACCAATTTCGTTTGGCAGGCAAGTTATTTGATGACTAGTACCTGCCTGCGGACAAGTGTTTTTCCAGTTAACAAAAAATCATATACTCAAATGTTGTTTTGTTTTACTGCTGTTAAAATATGAATCATAGCAGAGTATCTGTTTTCAATGCCGTTGATCATTTCATCGAACACTTGGTAGAAACTCCTCTAGAATTGCCCATTCAAGACAGAAGTAGAACACGGCAGGTATCAATATCATGTCAAAAAAGTTGAAGAGGGTTTTGGACCTTTCTTTTGTCAAAATGTAAAGTTCATGCCGTGAATACACAATACAAAAACATGTTGCTGTTATTAAATTGGAGGTATTGACTGGCGAACACTCACAGTCATGAAGTTGAACTCTTAATCGACATTAAGGAGTGTTTTTCATAACACAATAAGTCGCGGAGTAAGGAATCCCACCGTGGGATGTGGAGACGGGTCCTTCGGATGAGACTGTATGAACTGAGGTCCCGTGTTGCAGAATATGCTGGCACGAAAAAGATCCCTCACTGCTCAATGGCCCTGATTGCTGAGTATAGGTCAAAATTTGCAGCTCTCCACCGGCAAGTGGTGGCGTCTCCATACGAGTGAAAAATTCTCGAGTGGGACGTTTAACGATAAACAAACAAACAAAAAACATAACACCATAATGTAGATACAGATGTATTATTGTCATTTGAAAAATACAGAGGAATATATAAGTACATGTTTATGAATATACATTGACATGTCTATGTATTTAAAATTTTAAGTTTAATGATCAATGCACAGTGCAGATTCTAGGAAGTTTCCCTACGATTAGAATTTTTCCCTTTAATTTCTCCATGGGAGAGTTAGTGATTTTGGGTCAAGGTTGGTCCTAACAAACATTATTTGGCACATTTTATTTGCTGCACTGATTTTGTTCATTTTCATCATTGTTACTTTAAACCGAAGCATAGTCTAATAAGCAACACAGCAAATTATAAAAAAAAAAAAAGCAGATCAAAGAATAAAAAAATTTAAGACACTAGAAATATCAAATTATAAAATGCATGCTACAATTTTTTGTTAATAATTCAATGCTGAAAGTTGACTTTGTTGTTTACTTAAAATTCCTGTATCTTCTTAGGTTTTGAATTGATCAAAGAACTCTAAATCCCTTAATTGGCATCATGCATATGACAAGGTTTAATCTGAATAGTAATGCACATTTGTTTACAACCACTGTACAGCTGTACAAGTAAATGACATGACCTATTTACATCATGTGTTAAAATGAAAACATTTAGTTCATGTTTGTTTACAAACATTTTGCTGAGACCCTATATTTACATACATTAAAACACAAATTAATTTTTTATTTAAATTTTCAAATATTCATATTTTTAGCATGTTTAGTCTGCATCGCCCTGGAAATATATTTTTAGTCAAAAATAATGAATATAAATGATTGTTATTTACTAGCCTACAGCAAACATTTCAATCCCACAAAAACACACAACAGTATCCTAAGTGTATATCAGATAACCAACCACCTCCTTGTAAACCAAAATTAACGGTCAGAAAATTTAAACACCAGCCACCGTCCCACTCCAACCCCCCAAACCTCCATTCATGTATTCATTTGTATACAATAAACAGGTCATACAGAAAATTGTGAGAAATTTTTGAATGATTGAACAAAACCTTTCTATTGCTCGTGCATATATTAAAGTTACAAGGTATATTTAGAAGTAATGTAATCCATGTAAATAATCACACTAGAATTTCATTCATGTTTACTTGAACTTTATCAATATGTTTATCCATAGCATATATCATCTTTTTATGATCCAGGTGAAAGTTAATTATGGACAGTATTTCATGACAATACATAATGGACAAATAGATAAAGTATACCCATGCAGTGTTACATTTAAAAACTTCTTATGTAATAAATTATTAGGAAAAACAGTATCGTGCTTAATAAGTAAGGCATTTTTAGAGATCCACGTAAATTCTTTGAAAATTGATCATAAGACTTAACCATCTAAAAATAAATGTTCCAACGAAGTAACAGTTTCTCTGCCATTTTAATCAGAGGGACAGATTTTTCCTGCTCTTTACTTTCCAGCAACTCCCTGTGTTTTTTGCTGATGGAAGTCTGTAGTTTTGCTAATGCACGCTCGTATGATTGTTTAAATGATTTATCATTTTTCAGGAGTCTTCTGTACTTGATGAATTCGGCCAATACTGGGTCATTGCTAGGCAGGAGGGCTTTCACCATGTAGACTGTAGATTCTGTATCTAAGGTAAACAAAATATCCTGTGAGTATTTACTGTCTATCAACAGTACACTTGATTTAAATTAAAAATTCAAAAACTTCATTATTCAACAAGATCACAAAAGTATAGTAGATACCTGGTCCCTCTGTAAAAAGCCTACGCCTACATGGTTTTTTCTCATTGGAACAATCTGGAGAATATCAAAAACATTATAAACCATTCTCACAATGTCTGTGATAATTCTATGTTCAGGGTTGCATAATTATATTCAGGCTTTCTCCTTTTACTTGGCCATTCCGACAAATAACTGAAATTTTCTTGTTCCAACAAAATTTTTACTTGTCCAAAAAATTTTTTCAAAGTCGTAAAGGTTTCCTACGTGGCACAGTGGTTAGAGCATCTGCTCGAGAGTTGTGGAGTAAGGACCTGATCCTTACATCATGGGTTTGAATCCACCGCGGGATGTGGAGACCAGTCCTTTGGATGAGACTGTATAAACGAAATAAGTGTTGGCACGAAAAAGATCCCTCACTGCTCAAAGGCCCTGAGTGTCAAGTATAGGTATAAATTTGCAGCCCTCCACCAGGAAGTGGAGATGTCTCCATATGAGTGAAAAATTCTTGAGAGGGATGTAAAACAACAAACATACAAAATAAAGTCATAAAGACTGAAAGACATTTGAAACATAAATCTTTAATACATGTACCATTGCAAAAACAGATGAAAAAGTGCATTTTTTGTCTTCAATCTAAGAATAACAAATATGCACATGTATACACAGTGCTATTTATTATGTTTTTAAATTTATTTATATTTACCTGCATTACAGCTCACAACTGATGCTAATTCTCGTAATCGCTTGTTCTGCAATGGCTGCCCTTTTTCAACACAAACCCCTGAAGGTAATTTTACACCTGCAAATTCCAGAACTAAAAATTAGTATCATAGTGTTGTAATGATTTTTGCTAAAAATCATAAAATTGTAATTAAAGAGTGAACATGCCAACTATCAGTAGCTAATATATGCCTTTTATTTATTGTTAAGACATATTTTCAGAAACATTCCTTTGGAAAAGGCAAGTCTAACATAGAGAGAAAACAGAATGGCATCAGGTACTAGTTATTCTGTTTTTTGTTAAGGAAGATGAAAACACTGGAATAAATCAGAGAAAATATATTAAGAACTTCAACAGTTTACAATTTACATAATTTGTTTTTTAAATATTTTTTTTTATTATTATTTCTTTTGATAGTCAGTTGCTATGGTGCCTCTTATTTCTTCATTGACCCATTATATGATTTTGATAAGATTTATACAAGCAACATTAATACTTATAAGGTTTTGTTAGTGACTACCCACATTTCATGTATTCAGTGATTTTTTTTTTGTTTTTTAAACCACCACCCCCTCCTTTTGAATTGGGAAAAAATTAGCGACATTTTCTTTCAATTGGGAAAAATCATTTATAGTAAATTAGAATGCTAAAAAATACATAAAGTAATCAAACTAAGTAACAACAACAGATTTTGTTTGATTTTAACTTTGAATTTGATTTAAATTCAAATAATAATAATTTAAAAATATTAACATCAATATTCTATTGAATGTGAACATGGCTTATATTAGTCACATCTTGTAGCTTCTATTTTCTTGGAATTGCTTTATCTAATTTCATTAAAAAAAACAACAAAAACAGCATTTAGACTCATAATCTAGTAAACTGTCTTATATGGATAATCAAGTAAACAGTCTACTGTTTGTTTTTTCCTGATTTTAGTGAAACCCTATGTGTTGTCAGTTTCCTGTTATTAGCCTGACCCTCTGTGTAATAATGGCGGTCAAACCAAAATCATTATGTCAACATGCAATATCACTTGTATCTGGGAACTATTGACCAATTCATTGAGAATATTATAAGCTACTTATCTGCTTGTATGGATATCTACATTGTTTTACACATTCATTAATATGCATGGATTTGAAGTATAAAAACGTATTTACTCTAGTGTCAGCAAATTTAGCAACTTTTGTTCAAAATTAAAACATAATTTTCGTAAGTTTGAAATTGGGAAAAATATACTAATAATTGGGAAAAAATAGCTAATTTTTGTGAGGGGAAACAGACGAATATCGGTGGCATTTTGACCCCCAAAAAAATCACTGGTATTGGGTTTATCAATCTTAGAGATGGCTCTGCTTCACCTTGCTGTGTAAGATATCATATTGATCAACTCAATATATCTCTGTAGACGGTCACCAACAAAACCTTTAAATTGTTATTTTTTCCAATAACTAGTAACAGATAACAAACCCAAGGATCATGTGCATTAATTGTCTTAAAATATTTTTATTTTAACTTGATATGTATTAAAGAGCACTTTCTTTGAACAGTTTTGAAAATCTTGTTTGCATTAAGACATGAGTATAATGTTAAATTGTATGAGTAATGTCAAGATGATTTTCCTGTTGTTTACTTTAATCATTCTTTTATTTGTTTATTGTGTGCTTTTAGCTTTACCTGTATCTTGTCCACCACCATTGTTTGACTGTGACATTAGGGAACCCGCCGAATTTCCTATTCCTTTTGAGTCAACATTGTTTACTAGGTAAAATTTAAAGATAAAATATAGTAAAAAAGGGTTTCTGTAAGCATAGGAGCCTTGTTAGCTTTGCTGGTACTGATATTAATGTTACTCCTTAAATTTTGCCATTTATTTTGATTTTTAGACTTACCTGTGACTTTTTCACCTTCATGTGACTTATGGAAACCCCCTGACTTCTCAACATCTTTGTGTTCTTTATCCAGATAAACTGAAGAATAAAAAAAAAACTCTAGAAAAGAAAATTGTATGTTTTTAGCAAAGAGGAAAAAGCAAAGTCTTGGTACCATTAAGATTACAATTTTCAGTGTAAGAAGTACCTTTGTCTTGTTCGAAGTAATCGTTATGTGATATAGGGATACCCTTTGATTTCCAAATGCCTTCTTTGCCTATCTCATCTTGGTAAAATTAATAGAAACTCATTAATTGAATGTCTTTTTAAACAATTGATAAAAATTTTTGGTAGGAAAGTACATATACAGTTAACCTTGGTTATGAGGAAGCACAGAATCTTCAAATTTTGCTTCCCTTAAACAGAGATTCTTTATATATATATATATATTTTTATAAAGAACATAGTGTTATTCTTTGCCAAGATTCATATATGTGTTTTCCTATTATCAAGTGCTTCTCTTATAAGTGATTTCTTTATAATGGAGAGTTACTGTACCTATAAGTTGTAACATGCCTGAAGACTTCTGAATTATTTTTTTTTTACAAATACCTAAGGGTTGTTCACTGTCTTCTTCATCTTGTGACCTGTACAAGCCTTTAAACTTTCCCAGGCTTTTCTTGTGTACCTCATCTGAAAGAAAGTTTAAGAATAACACTCATTGATAACTATTCTTATCAGAGGATAAATGAAATATATCTTGATACTTGTGTCTATGCTCTGGTTCTGATTGTAAATTTGCATATTTGTAGAAATACCTGTCTCTTGTCCAATGCCATCACCATCATCACCACCATGACCATCACCAACATCATGACTATCACCGACATCATGACCAACACCAACATCATGACCATCACCGACATCATGACCAACACCAACATCATCATCACCCTCATGACCAGCACCATCACCACCATGACCACCAACACCATCATCACCATGACCACCAACACCATCATCACCATGACCACCAACACCATCACCACCAACACCATCATCACCATGATCACCAACACCATCACCACCACCACCATCACCACCATGACCACCAACACCATCATCACCATGACCACCAACACCATCACCACCACCACCATGACCACCAACACCATCACTACCATGACCACCAACACCATCACCACCATGACCACCAACACCATGACCACCAACACCATCACCACCATGACCACCAACACCATCACCACCATGACCACCAACACCATCACCACCATCACCACCAACACCATCACCACCAACACCATCACCACCATCACCACCAACACCATCACCACCAACACCATCACCACCATGACCATGACTTCCATAACCAAGTCCATCTACATGCCCATCATCACGACCATCATTACCATGTTCATCATCACAATCACTTGTCATTCGGGTAATCTGTGACTTTTCTGCAATAGATTTGATTATAAAATATAATGATGATAACCTGACAAGAAAAATCTGAAAGCTAAACTGGAATCACAAAGTATGCGTGTCTGTCTGACCATCTATCTATAGACATATCATCACTGGTGTTTATCCATTGAAAGTGTCAATGTATAGAACATTTTATAAATACAGTTTTGTTTAAAACATAATAATCTTATCATCAAGGTAAAATACATGTTGAATCCTTTAAATTATCTCAAGCCTTTCTTGTGTACTTCATCTGGGAGAAAGTTTTAAAATAACACTCATCGATAAATATTCTTATCAGACAATACATGAAATATATTTTGGTAATCTAGTCTATGTTTAGGTTCTGATTGTAAATTTGCATATTTGTAGAAATACCTTTCTCTTGTCCAATGCCATCATCATCATCACCACCATCATCACCATGCCTTTGACCACCATTATCGTCACCATCATCATCACCAAGTCCATCATCACCACCATCATCACCATGCCCATCATCACCGTCATAATTTGTCATTTGGGTAAACTGTGACTTTACAGATTCTGCATTACATAAGATTAGGCAATCTTTAAAATAATGTCTGTTTGCCCTCTCCCAACTCAGGGTAAGAAATTGGGTCAGTAAGTAGGTGAGAAAATTTTTTTCCCCTAGAAGACTTAAACATACATATGGACAGGATGAACAAATCCAGGAATAAAAAAAATATATATCGTTTCCTAGAGGTAAAAAATAGTTCTAAGTCAAGTCGTCTTTAGTCAGTCGGTTGGGAGAGGGCAAACAAACATTTTTTTAAGAATGGCCTTGTAAGATATATGATGATAATCTGACAAGGAACCTATCTGTACTGGTATTTAACTATTTAATTGATATGTTAATTTATAGGAGATATTAATTGAAACACCTGATAATCATTCTCAAGAAAGTGAAAGAGATATTCAAGTTAATTTTTGTTTTATTTTTTTCGCTCATCTGAGCAGAAGGTTTAAGTTAGCTTATAGGATCAATATTTGTCTGTTGTCTATTGTCGGCATTGTCATTGTAAGCTTTTGAAATTTTCAGCTTCTTCTCCAGAACCATAGGGCCAATTTCAAAATTCAAAATTACCCAAGAAAAAGCCACATCCTCTTTCAAGGGGAGATAATTAAGATTATTAAGATTATATGTTCTAAATTTTGCATGTTCTAAATTTTGCACATGTATATTTAGAAAAAAAATCTGTTGATGAAAAGCAAAAGGCCAAAGTGACTCAGGTAGGCTCTGTGTCCTATTGGTCTTGTTGAATTTTCAAATGTTTTTAATTTAATACCTCTGGTTTGTACATTTCCATTTTCATCTTGAGACCTGTGGGAGCCTTCAGATTTTCCTAAGCCTTTCTTTTGTACTTCATTTAGGGAGACTATTTTGAAAAATTACTCATATATAAATAAGATGATAAATGAAATACATGTATATCTTGATACTTGTGTCTATGCTCTGGTTCTGATTGTAAATTTGCTTATTTGTAGAAATACCTGTCTCTTGTCCAATGCCATCACCATCATCACCACCATGACCATCACCAACACCGTGACCAACACCATCATCTCCACCATGACCATTACCAACACCATCACTAACACTATGACCATCACCAACATCACAAACACCATGACCAACACCATCATCACCAACACCATCATCACCAATACCATCATGACCATCACCACCAGCATGACCATCACCGACACCATGACCATCACCATCATCCCCAACACCATCATCACCATCATCACTATCACCACCAGCATGACCATCACCATCATCACCATGACCATCACCACCATCATTACCATCATCATGTGTCAATCTGGTACTTTGTGACTTTTTAGATCCTTAAACAGATAAGATTTCAAAATATAATGATAATAACCTGACAAGTAATGTCTCGGGGCATAAGTGGAATCAGAAAGTCTGTCTGTCTGACCATCTACCTATGTCTATATACATATCAGTGATGTTTATCTCAAGGGTACACATGAACAGATCTTAACAAACTTATTTCACAGCATCCTTGGGTAAAGAGGAGTTTAAATTGTTAAAATGAAGGGTCAAGCCCCATTCCAAGGGGAGATAATCAAGAAAAGACAAAAGTAGGGTGAGGTCATTAAAAAGCTTCTTCTCAAGAACCACGGGCCAGAAAAGCTGAAATTATGTGGAAGCATCCTTGGGTGGTGTAGATACTAAATTGTTCAAATCCTGAACCCTGGAAGTAGTTTAGGGCCACATTAGGTTTTACAAAAGGGGAAATATAGTGAAGAACAGCAGGGCCAGAGTTACTCAGGTGAGTGTTGTGGCCCATGGGTCTCTTGTTTAAAGGATGTCCTCAAATGAGTTGCCTGGGGGGGGGGGGGGGGTAATTAGTCCTATCAGTGACAGTTCTAGTTGCTAATGCTTTAATTTGTAAGTCATATTGTGACCACAAAGTTATCCTAGTCTAGATAAATGTATATGTCACACATAATGTTACAGAATAAAACAAAATTACAATTGTCAAGAATAAAATTGTAGGTATCACTTAAATCTGACACCTTTTTACAATTTTGGAGCTCTCATGATGACTTAATTGATACATAATATTATACTTATGATATATCCACGCGTAAAAGTACAAAATACAAGTTAATGAATAATAAAGTATGCATATTAATTGTAGGAATACCTGTGTTGCTGGCCTTGTTTGCTGTAGAACCTATCAACTGCTGGGGTGTATGTGATGCCTCCATGACAGATAATCTATTGTACTCTTCCACCGCTCTAATGAAATCTGAAGAAAAGAGGATTTGCTAAATGTGTATTCATTTATGTGTCATTTTTAAGAACAGCTGATAAATTTTGGAGAAAAGGACAAAACTTTAGTTAATGATTTTTGGTCATGTTAATATTTTTAACATTTTAAGGAAATTTTGAGATTTTGAAAATTTGAATTTAGTATTTATGATGATAATTTTGATAACAATCTTTTGACATACCATCATTTTTCACAATTCTGCAAAGTTTTCCCTCTTGAAAAATTCTAATCTTGCAGAGTGGCAGTCTGAGAGCAGAGTCTTCATATTGCTGAATGCACTTCTGCCATTCCCCCTCTAATACTCTTTCTTGATCTTTTCCTGTCATGGAACGGAAGTGACTAAGAGGTGGATAACTTTGAAAGTCTTGCTCGTCTGGACCATCATGAAACATTATGCCATCACTGCAGATAGACCACCAAGTGCTCTCACCACAACTCAGGAAATCAGAGATCCTTTGGCAGTGGGTTTGAAATAAGGTTGGTCTTTTTTGTAGGAAATCCATATCAAATAAGGTGTTCCCTGTCTTTGGAAGACGTTTGGCTTGGTGACTGATGATCGAGTCTTGATGTTTAACATAATCTTTTTTGTTTTCATTCAGCTGTTGTGCATTGTACCTGAGAACTGCATTGTCTATGATTTTACCACATTGTCTGTTAGCTGTGTTGAGAGAGATGTTTCGTAGATCCCCAAATGATCTTTCCTCTTGTTCTGGAATCAGGGAGCGCAGACAAATTAATCTGTAAGTTTCTGGGGTGTGAACTGTTAGGCTGTGGAAATGTGAGCCATAGAATTTTCTGGTAGTCATCTTCTTTGGTATGCTGATAACTGTCCTTGAAAGAATGCTGAATTTGAAGCAGAGATTATACAATCTTAGAATTTTCTTGGTTGTTCTTTGTTGATATGGACTATAGCAGATGGATATTATCTCTACTAAACAGGTGCACAGTTCATAAATATCCTTACTAATTTTATTCTCTGAGAACTTTGAGTGTGAAAACATTGCCAACTTCACTGCAAAAGACGGGCATCAGATCCTTTCAGCTGATTTTTGTCTCCGATGGTGGTAACTGAAAACTGTTCATAATCTTTCTTTGTGTCAGCATCATCAATATGGTGGGGAAGCTCTGTAATTAGGTTCTGCACGATATTCGTAATGTCATGAAGGGGTTCAGCTGGTGGTACTTCGTAAGTTTGGAGTAGGTCTGACACATCTTGACTTGTTGTGAAGAAGGCTGGTGGTCTCTGAATCCCTCTAAGTGTTCTTACCAGCTCTTCCTGCAGTTCACCCTTGCTCTTGTTTACTGTATCACACCCTCTAGCATTGAGTTCTCTTACAATTTCTATTTTTTTTAAATTGGCAAATGGTGATGGTCTCGTTAAGGAAAACTGTTTCCATAACACTCCTTTTCTAAGAATCTCCACTCTTTCCTGAAGTGTTGGAGCTTTACTATTGAACGCACACTCTAGATTCATGTGGTCCTTTGAACAAATGCCACATAAACAACTGAAATTTCCTCCCCTCTGGTGACCAGCTTCAAACTGTCTGGCGGGGCCGTCTCCACTGAAGTATCTTAAAATGTACCGGACGTCACCATCCTGGTTCCGAAGACTCGAGAGGTCATCAACCCTTGCTGGCATGTAGGAAAGCTGGTCAACATCACTGCTAGAAGACTGCCCAAGTACGTAGAGAAATGGCTTTTCTACCATTGCTTGAACATCAGCTGGTGGACGCTCTGGGTACTTCCTCTTGTATTCTTCATCTGTGATGAAGGAGGCAGAGTCGTAAAGTGTGCTTACCATGATGGTGATATAGCTGTGGTTAAGAATATCAGAGTGATCATGCCAGATCTTCAGGTGCCTTGTTTTGCTTTCATCAGTGTCTGTTTCTCTTTGGTATTCCCTGTGAATTTCTGCCATCTGTTCTATGATCTTTTTTAGGGGAATCATTCTCCCATATACAGTGTAATCAACAGTGGCGAGGGTACCTGATGTATCGATTTTGTTTGATTTGAAAGCTTTTGGGGCAATCTGTTCTCCAATGTAGAGGTCTTTGTTTTCTAGTTTTGGTGTACTACTTCTCTTAATTTTCTGGCTGGTTTTGGTGTTGGAATAGAAATAAATTTGTAAATTTTCTGTCGTGATCTTCTTACCCTTTGAACAAAGTCTCTACCACTTACACGCTGATATTGATTAAATTTATCTGTGTTTACACCATTTTGACAAGCAAATGTTTGTAAAACTTGGCCAGCATTTTTTGGAACAAGACCTTTTTTGTTTTTTACATGAAATTTAAACGCTAGGTAGCGCCAGATAACCCGTGATCCTGATGGAAGATTCTGCATATATTTTAAAAAGCCATCTCTGTCGAACGTGTAGTTGTCCATGTTCCCCACATGTTTTTTTGCCTTTTGTAAGCCTTCTTTAATTTTTTTTGACACACGGACAGTTCTCCCCCTTGCTGAATTTGTGGCTTCAAAAAATGTGGACAATCTATCCCTATCAACTTGACTGTAAGACTTCCCTGACGCAAGAAAATTTTGAACCTCACTTTCATTGTTGGTTATGATTTGGTTTATTTTGTTTGTGTTTTCTTGTGTTTGCTTGATTTTTTGTTTGCGTTTCTGCTCACTAGGCAGTTTTTCTGTTAAGTTGTACCTATCAGAAACAACTGATTTCAAGTTTGTTTGAAACTTTTTTTCAAAGATTGGTTCTAAGACATTCAATATTTTGTTGACCCCTGTACTGCTTTTATTTTCAATTTCATTTGCAAGTTCATTAGACATTTGCACGATGTTTTCAGTTGATTCTGTGGCGGACTTGTGAAGTACTGAATAATTTATCAGTTTTGTATTTTCACATGGAGAACAGTCATATATTGTATGACGAAGTTTTTCTTTGTGTGAGAGGGAATCCCATTGTTGCAAAGAAAACTGCACAAGGAAGTCTTTTTTCTGTCCACTTTTGTTACTGTTTTTCCAGTATTTTGGTTGTGTTAAGTAGTTTTGTACGCGTGGTAACTGGCGTACAAATTTATCATAAGGCAAGTGCATCTTGGAATATTTGTTCATAACACTATTATAAAAGCTATATCTAAATGTTGCTGACTTGTTTGAAGACTTAACATTTACAATAGCACTATTATCATTTTCCTTTGATGACCACCATTGAATGCATTCTGGATCTTTTGTACAACGACCAATTATAACTTTCGCAAAGTTACAGAAATTCATGATGACTCTCTCTGTATTGTCAAATACCCCAAATGTTAGAAAATTTCTTTCTTGATCTTCTTGCTTACATTTTTTCAATGTTTTTGAATTTAACTATTTCAAGGTCAGCTTCAGGATATTGCACATCTGCCATGATTGTTCTTAAATTAATCTCCAAAAAAATATTTTAAAATTATTTTGATTTTTGAACATTTTCCAAAAGTTGGAAGCATTCATTTATCGAGTTGTTCTTTTTGGGGGGGTTAAAAACACTACCGAAATATTTTTTTTATTATGATAATAATTTACTTTTTTTTTCCCTCTCATCTTCCAAGTGTTGTTTTTCAGCAAAAATATTGATTGAAAAAAAAGATATGATCTGAATTTTGATCACTTTTCTTCATTTTCTTGCAATTTCAGTGACTTTTATTGTCATAGCCTGTACAAGCATTTTGTATAGAGATTAACTTCATTGATTTTTTGTTAATTTTTATATATTTACAAAATTATGCTCAATTGAATAAAAAAAATTCCTGGTTCATATCTTTGTCATTTATCTTTGATTATTCATAAAATTTCTTGAATATATGTGACTTGCAGCTTGAGTTTTATGTACACGTATGATTCTTTTATGCAATATGAGTGGTGGATCCAAGGTTTAATTTTACCAGCACTTCCATGAATCGTGCCATATTAAAGCCTTTGGGGATAACAAAGACAACAATTTAACTTTATTTCGTTTATTCATTGAAATACATGAGAAAGAAATCGATGGTCTTTGGTAATAAAGCCTGGAAACGCCCACTAAGGCCCCTTCATAGCAGTGCTTGAAATAATAGAGTTTAGCCAAATCTGCAGTTTCAGTCCTGGTTTTCAACCTGAAAACAAGAATATAAATCATTAAAAAGAGTTTAAACTTTTTTTTATTCCAAAGATATTATGAATACATCTTGGAAACGTGTTCTTTCTTTCTAAAGTCGAATTTTGCGCGCTTTGTTAACTTCAAAATAGTGGAATTATCTGCCCTTGATCTCGATCATCAGTGCGTTTTATATGAGCTCATTTGCATAAACAGCAATCCGAATCTGCTAAAACGTAAAAGTTCAACGATATACCTTATATGTATGGACTTATGCTTTATAAATATGTTGAGGGTATGTATTTCTTTACAAGAAAAGTGCTGGGAGCAACTTGTGCATGTCTTACAACAGCATTTTTTCTTGCAAGTAAATGGTAAATACCATGATTATGTATCGGTCGAAGGTTTTTGAAGTTAAAATAGACTGTGTTCTCGAGGATGCTATACTTGCTCCCAGCACTTTTCAGGTTAAGGAATTCTAGGACTTTTAATTAGTAGTAGACATTATTCTCAACACATGTCGTATATCCTTGAACTTTTGTGTTGAAAGAAGGAAGGTATGTTTTGTCTATTTTTGGTATGTCACGTGATAAACAGCTGACGTCAGTAATGTCCTTGTTGAAAAATGATCCGGAGCACTGTTGTAATTGAACCATATATAGATCCTATTTAAGTGATTTTTTATTGCCTTGAAATGTCGTTTAAAAATTATACCGTTTATATGCTGCTGATTTTCCTTTGTTTACACATGGACGTCCTTAACCTAGCTGCGCGGTGCCATTTTTTTTCCGTCAAAGCTAAGAACATACGATTTGTCCGTTAGCTTCATGTCTAGAGATTGACTAAAAATCCCTGGTGGGATTTCGTTAGGTAACTCAGCTACTGTACCTCCAAATGTAGCTAAGCTCTTTTGTGAAGGAACAGCAAAGTTAATAGAAGAATTTGTAGGGACATAGCCACCACGACCAGTAATTTGTACTTCGCCATCTTTTGCTGCAGTCCTCAATCCACCCATAAAACACAAAGCCTTCCCATGGAAAAGTCTATACATTACTTTCCAAAATTTAAGACAATCAGGTGAATATTGCATATTTGCTGTACTTTCAAGTGAGTACCAACGAACAACATCGAGAAAAAGAAGAAGAGAAATATTTGTCAAGGGTAACTTTTCTAGATGAATAAGTCTTAGTAAGCTACAGAATTTCTAGATGAATAAGTCTTAGTAAGCTACAGAAATCCCCAAAGATCCCAGCTTTTGAGAGTTTTTGAAGAACTGAAGGTAATATTTCTTTCATTTCATCTATAATTTTGTCATTTTTATTTTCTTCATCAAGCTTTCTTTTTGATTTCTTTAACTTTCGTTTAGCTTTTAGAGGTGCCTTTCGTATATTGTTGCTACTTAATTGAATACAACTTGGTGGAGTTAAAATACACGTAGAGTCGCTTAAACATGGAGTTTCTGCTTCGCATTTTTGGGATATTTTAGATTTTTTAGGCTTTTGTAGCCACAAATCCGACGATTTCCTCTTTCTAGCTGGAAAAGAAAAAAAAATTCGTTTAGCAGCTGGTGCACAATTTTCAGTTTATAACCGGTGCCTTAATACGAAGAGTTCTAATAGCAACCGTAACTTTTGAGAAATCATATTTTGATTGATTATTCGATAAAAACGCCCTTATAATTTATTTATTTTTTTTTATTTCCATTGCACCAGTATGGATTAACACATTTTCAGACCCAAAAATCGAACAAATTTTGATCTTAAATGAAGGAGCAGCATAAAAACGTTGGTGTATGTGACTTTTGAATCATTATATACTGCGGATATTTTACTATAATCTATATGACTCAAATTGCATTTAGTATCAGTTATAGAAATACCCTACTTGTTTCGTAAACAACGATTTTTTAGAAACTTACTCGATTTTGAGGCACTTTTTCACACATATTCAGCTAGTTCCATGTGGCATCTGTATAATTTATTTCAGCTAGTAGCCGTACAATTTTTTAATAGAAACATTGAACGCGTTTTTTTTCCCCGATAGCAACCGTTTAGGTACTACACCGTGTGTTTTGTTGTTGTTGCTCTGAAGGTTCCTGTGTTTGTTTAAGGGGTTGTTGTAGTAATTAGGATTTTTATTCCTCTCTTCATTTTTCCTTGAAATATTCCTAATTGTACCGAGTATCATCAGTTTCACAGAGAAGTTAACTCCCTTGTAAATGCACATAGTTTATTGTTTAGTTCCAGTGACAGCGATATGATGCGATTTACTGTAAATACATAGAAAACATATGTAGAAGTATTTGATATTACACATAAACCACACACTCTGCGACTGACAAATTAACATCACTCTGATTATTAAATAAATGCTCTATGTTCTTTGTAAACAACATTTTTACAATAAATCTTGCACATATGTACCCTAGTAAATTAGCACATATGAAATTCATACTATCAAATCACACAATTTCAAATGAATAACCGTTACTAGAAATGCTCAAACAAAATACATGATTATCGTAGAGTGCACATGCACCAAATAATTTCATGCAAAATTCACAGCAAATCTTTAACTTTCAATATCACATTATAAATATCAACCTATTATGACATAAATTTTCTACACATAGTCGTCAAATTATAAATCTTTCATGCGAACTTTCTAACGTCACTAAAAATTACACCATAACAGGTGAACATTGAACACCTTTGTAAACATATAATTGAGAACAATTATGCACGTAAAAATTTCTTATGAAACGATATAAAATTAGATTTTATGTTTAACTTACCAACTTAGAAGTTTTCTCTCGCAGGAAAATTGAAGACAAACATGATATTCAGCACAGTGACTAGTAAACACTGGTAAACAATTTCTGAACTTGTAAAACGCTCGTGCACCCGCGAAAATTGTAATATTGGAACCAAATCCAGAAAAATCTAACATTCAAACTAAATCCGGAAAAATGTTTTGTATAATGTTAAATTTCTGTAACAATCCAGCCCCCTATTGTGGAACATTATGTGACACAATTACGTACAAAAGTTTCAATAAGAGTACTAAAAAATAGTACAAAAGTTTCTAACAATACATGAAAATAATTTCACAATCAAGGTTCAACCATTTCCAGAACGAGACAAAGTTTATCTATTGGACGCGTCAAAATTTTTGTTGCGGTCTTTACTTTAACTTGTCGTAACAGTCCAAAACGATCAGGGTCCGCCGTCATAAAACATACTTAAGTCTGAGAATCTTCTCAAGTTTGGGAATATTCTCAAATCCTAAATTCTCAGACTCAGCGGCCGTCATAAAAAAGTTGAGTAAAATAAAAATTCTCAAACTCTGTTTTATTCTCAAATATTTGAGTTTACTATAAAGCAAACTTAAGTACATTCTCAAGCATTAAAAATGGCTGCCATGTTCCAACGTCGACATCGAAGGAGACAGAATCTGCTTGTTTTGAGGCGACCACGAGTATTTCGTGACCTAAGCAATCCTTTGGAGAGTCTAGAGGAGGAAGAGATTTTCCAGAGATATCGTTTTTCTCCGGGTAGCATACTTTATATTGTAAATAGTGTCAGTGACAATCTTCAAGCAGATACTGCCAGGAACCGACCCATTCCTCCACTGATCCAGGTTCTACTGTTTCTCCGTTTCCTGGCTACAGGGGCACACTTAAGACTTATTGGAGACAGTCTTAACGTTTCAGAATGTACGACTGGAAGGGCTGTTAAAGCGATAGCAAGGGCCATCATTGAAGTTTTTATCAATCTGATAAAATTTCCCGTCGGTGAAATAGCGACCAAAGTCAAGGAAGTATTCAGAAGAATTGCGGGTAAGACCTATAATTTGGAGAAGAAAAAAACCCACTGCAAGAATCGTTCTTTGCTTTTAGTGAGATATGTGTAAATCTTTAAATACACTACATGACTGAAAGATTATTCAAAACAATTAAGTCAATAAATACACTCGAGAGAATACTTACTTTTCTGTAAATTTATGAAAAATCCCCTTACAATAAATTGCATTTTACGGAAGATAGGAAGAGTTCCACTAAGGGCCACAACTGTATTTAGTGCAATAGTGTAATTGGGTGGTGGATCCAACACAAACTTTCAAAGCAAAGCTGTTCTGTTTGTTATTTGTAAACATTGACAATAAAATGTAATGATATTAAAGCTAAGTATATAAACAATACTTAGTGGAAAATGCATACTAATTTAAATTCTTGTAGCACATTTGAAAGAATTACTATTGTTTATTTATTTCCTTTCTCTATCACTTTTTCTTTCAAATAATTATTGTTTTTCTTATTTCCATTTTCATATCCTCTTTATGTTTTTACTGCTATGTTAGAAAAAAAGCAAGTTAAATGATTGTGGGCTGTTTTTTTTTTTGTAAGAAAATTATCAATAATGGCAATTAAAAAAAAAAATGATAACAAAAAATGAAATAAATATTTTTATTAATTAAATTACTTTGATATGTGAATTTCAAATGAGTTTAAGGTATTGTTTAAAAAAATACAGAGATGTTTTGGGTTGTTCTTGCTAGAAATAAGTATACGTGTGATTTGTTTTCTAATATTCAGAAATGCAACCTTCAAACCTTTAATGCCCTCATATAATTAAAGCTGAACAATAATGATTTCATTGACAGGTTTTCCCAAAGTTGTGGGTTGTATTGACGGAACCCAGATAAGAATTCAAACTCCTTCACTGAATGAACCTGATTATGTGAACAGGAAGGGATTCCATAGCCTCAATGTTCAGGTATTTAAAAAAAAAAATATTTAAAAGGATTTAACTTCTGATTTTTTATATAGTAGAACATATATTAAGTTGGTTTGACCATAATATTTCATTGTAGAAGCTCACTTTCATTGGCATTATGAATAGTACATGAGACCTTTTAAATTTAATAAGGGATGTCAGCTACAGCTATGTTTCAAAAATTCATCATAAAAAGGAAATTGGAATGATAAATAATTATTAACATAATATATTATACATTTTAAAATATATGTTTAAAAAACATATGTATTTCTTTAGATGGTATGTAGTCCCACTTTCAAGGTGACCTCACTTTGTGCCAGGTGGCCTTGATCATGTCACGATTCGAGAATTTGGAGAAATTCACACCTTTGCCAACAGTTTGAAAATGGTACTTCTTTAAATTATATAATGTAACTATATGTAATATGTTTCTCCATATGAATCCTTTTCCTGAATTGCATTGACTATGTTCTAGCTTGACTTAAGCATGCATTTATACCCTCTTTTAATATTCCGGGTTACATGATGGGATTCTGCTGGGAGATTCTGGGTACCCCCTTACAAGATACCTCATGACACCCTATTTAGCACCGGCGACACGGTCTGAGGAGAGGTATAATGCCAGTCTATGTAGACCCGTGTCTTGATTGAGCAGACCTTTGGCATCATGAAGAGGAGATTCCAAGCTCTCCAAATCGGGTTCAGGGTGTCCCCAGACCAAGCAGTACATATATATTATTATAACAGTAACTTGATCCGAAGAGCCGTATCACGTCAAGTTGATAAGCGCGGATCATCAGATCAAACGAGACCGAAGCGTCGAGTTTGATCTGATGATCCGCGCCTGTCAACGAGACGTGATACGGCCCTTCGGATCAAGTTACTGTTATAATGATAAATTTATTATATACCCCTTACAACTAGTAAAATATAATAAAAGGGAACTTTTTGGATCAATTACATAACTTTTATCCATTAAACAAACCATTTCGTCAAGGAACTTTTTGATGCGCCAGAATAAAAACGTCATTTATCTGCGTATTACGTCATCAGTTTCAGAGAGGGGTGATATGGATTCAGAAAACCACAGTGTGGTGATCCGGAACGTCGGATCACACCGTCACGTGATTGCATAAATTCAACAGTAAAACTGAATGAAAACAGTTAGGTATATAATAAAGTTTATTACAGCCTGTGTGATACTCCATAATCTGGGAATTGACAGAGGAGATATCTGTGTGCAGCAGAATTTAACAAACATTGATGTTGCCGCCTGCATCCAGCAAAATATACAGGAACCTGGACAAGTCCGCAATGATGGAGTATTAAAGAGAGCAGCAATTACACAAGGATTTTTCTAAAAAGAAATTTTAATGCAAACTGTAGATCTAATGTCCCCAGTTTAAATGAGATTTTCTAGAACATATACAATTAAGCCAAGTCAGAGAAAATGTTCATTTATTTAAATTTATTAACTTAATTTTTCATGAAAAGAGGTCCAGTTTTGCGCTCTCTCTTTCTTCCAATGTATTTTATTTCAAAAGTTTTAAGGTCCATGAGCCACAATGCTCACATGATTCACATTGGCCTTGCTAAGATCCAAACTAACTTGAATCTGCACTACTTGATATATCAAAACCAGAAGTCTGATTAGACTGTAGCTCTACTGGATAGCATAGTCTACTTGTGTACAAAGTCTTATTGAAATCAGAATTAAACTGTAAGAAGAATATCAATTTGAAAAAAAAAATTCATATAAATTTCTATTTTGGTAACCATGACAACACCCAGCTAAGGACAGACAGCTAGACAGACGATGGACAACAGTGATCAGAAAAGTTTGTTTAAACTTTTGGTTCATATGAGTTAAAGGTGAAATAAAAGCATATTTAAAGTTCTGATGAAATATGGACCAACAATTCAGGATATGTTGTTTGAATGTCTAACAGAAGCCTCTGCTTCTTCAGGATGAGGACCTCCTTCTGAATGTTCAGGACTTCCCTCTCTTGTTTCACCTTTAGGATCTCCTCCTCTAATCTTTCATTGATTGGGTTCACCTGTTTGATTAAATTACAAATGCATTAAATCTAAAACTAAAGTGTTTTTTTTAATCCTTTGTTTTTGATCAATTGGCTTTACATATTACATGTACATTAACATTTTTTTTCATCTTCTTTGTTGATCATTTAGAAATGATTCAATAGATAAGTGTTCCATTGCTGAAAAAAATCACTTGAATACTGCTTTGTGCTATTTCAATTTGTGTTTTAAATCTTTGGCTAATTATCAGCAGATTGAAAAGAAGTTATACAATTTAGATTTTTTAAAATTAAAAAAATGCTATATCATACTGAAATACATATTGGACTGTCTTTATTGAACTACATTTATTTTTAATACATATTATAATCAAATACATGTATTAAATATAATCTATGTAATTTAACATTTTTTTCTTTTTTATTTGATATGAGAGAGAGAAGGGCTACATTTTGCTGACAAACCTTTCTTTTCCTTTCTCTTATGTCTAGCAGATGATTTTTAAGTCACCTGAGTTTACTCAGGTGACCTATTGCTATCTGTTTTCGTCCGTCGGCGTGCGTCGTCCGTCGTGCGTTAACATTTGAACATTTTCAACTTCTTCTATGGAACCACTGAATTAATTTCAACCAAATTTGGCATATAGCATCTGTGGGTGCAGGGGAGTAAGAATTGTGAAATTCATGACCCCTACCCCCCTGGGGCCTGAGGGGTGGGACTAAAACTATCAAAATTAATGTAATCTTTAAAAATCTTCTTCTTTACTCCTGGACATCAAGCAGTCAAACTGTTGGCATGGTTGTAATAAGCATCGAGTTCTCTACCAAAATTGTGAAATTCATGGCCCCAGGGTCAGGGGTTCTGGTGCTAGGGTGGGGCTATATAGATCATATAGTGAAAGTGCATTATTTCTTTGAAAATCTTCTTCTCTGCTCCTGGGTATTAAATAAACTTACTAAGTATATAGTTATGAAGAGGAAGAGAGCCTCTTCAAAAATTGTGAATTTCATGGCCCCAGGGTCAGGGGTTCTGGTGTTAGGGCGGGGCTCTACTGATTATATAGTGAAAATGCATTAATTCTTTGAAAATCTTCTTCTCTGCTCCTGGGTATTAAAGTAACTAAGTACATAGTTATGATAAGCAAGAGTGCCTCTTCCAAAGTTGTGAATTTCATGGCCCCAGGGTCAGGGGTTCTGGTGTTAGGGCGGGGCTCTACTGATTATATAGTGAAAATGCATTAATTCTTTGAAAATCTTCTTCTCTGCTCCTGGGTATTAAAGTAACTAAGTACATAGTTATGATGAGCAAGAGTGCCTCTTCCAAAGTTGTGAATTTCATGGCCCCAGGGTCAGGGGTTCTGGTGTTAGGGCGGGGCTGTACTGATTATATAGTGAAAATTCATTAATTCTTTGAAAATCTTCTCTGCTCCTGGGTATTAAATAAACTAAGAACATAGTTATGGTGAGCATGGTTGCCTCTCCATAAATTGTGAATTTCATGGCCCCTGGGTAAGGGGTTCTGGTGTTAGGGTTGGGCTCTACTGATTACATTGTAAAAAATGCAATAATTCTTTGACAATCTTCTCCTTTTCTCCTGTGTATTAAGCCAATGAACTATGAGTAAAGTAATGATGAGTAAGTGTGCCTCTTCAAAATTGTGAAATTCATGGCCCCAGAATCAGGGGTTCTGTTGTTAGGGCAGGGCTCTGTTGAATATATTGTGAAAAAGCATTATTTCTTTAAAAAATTTCTTCTTTGCTCCTGGGTATTCAGCAAACAAACTGAATGCACAGTTATGATGAGAAAGGATGCCTCTTCCAAAATTGTTAATTTCATGGCCCCTGGGTCAGGGGTTCTGGTGTTAGAGCCTGTAATGATTACATTGTAAAAAATGCAACAATTCTTTGACCATCTTCTCCTTTTCTCCTGGGTATTAAGCTGATGATTTAAGAGTATAGTTATGATATGTAATGGTGCCTCTTCCAAAATTGTAAATTTTATGTCTCCTGGGTCAAGGTTCTGGTGTTAGGGCAGCGCTCTGGTGTTATGGCAGGGCTCATGGCAAAGTTGATACATGATACTCAGGTGACCTATAAGGCCCGTGGGCCTCTTGTTCTGCATCTTGTCTTTCTTGCAATTGGATGTTAGATGAAGAATCTAAATCTGCAAAATTATTTGTCAAATGAATCCTTGTTTTGAGAATTGAAGCTTGAACTGCATAGGAGGATTTTGTTTATTTCTGTCTTCTCATGATTAAGAATTTGACAGATAAACATTCACTGAACTAATAATCAACATCAGTTTGCATTGTCATGTTAATATTTTGTCCTAATTTTTCAGTCCATACACATAATATTTACATAATTAAGGACAAATCATTACCTTGTGCATTTATCCCTGCATTTTCTTCCTGGGCATGTTCAGGGACTGTGATGGCACTGACTGTTGGAGCTGGAAAAGTAACAAAAATACTGATTATAACAAAAATCTTACCATAATTGAAGAAACAAACAAATTTAAATCATATATGGTACCAGTCCTTATAATTAGTGTCTAAATCTAGCTTTGGCAATTGAATATATAGATCTTCATAATTAGAAATATTTATCAAAATTTACTTGATGAATTAGAGCTGTAATTACAAGGAACATAAATAATAGTATATATAATGCACCACAAACTATACCATCAGTATCCATCCCTCCCTCGAGGCCATGGAGGTTGGGTTCCTTTTCAGACAAGGAATGTTTCCTCCCCTTGAGCCAGTGGGGGTAGAGGAAGCCCTCCTCCAGTTTTAGGCCTCTTTAGGCCGTCCAACTTCTCCTTGCCTGTAATTCATTGAAAAAAATTCTACACACAAAGGTGAAGATGTCATCAGTTTTTTTTAAAGGAACATTGGATGAGATAAATATACATATTTTTTATTGTGTATTTGCTTGAAGTTACTGTACTTTTAATTGTCATTTTTCTTTCTCTTTACAATTATAAAAAATTAATAATAATAATTATTTCTCTGCTAAAAAGTATAGAAAGATAACAGACTTTACTTCTAGCTTTGATGTTATAATATTTTTTCTTTATTTCCTCCCAACTCCGCTTTCTGGTGTCAAATTGTCTGCAAATATTATAACATTACTAAAATATTTGATCCAGTCCCATTTTCATGTTTATCTGAGTGTGGACCTAAAAATAGAAATAACTTAAGAATGGAAATTCCCATTTTCCATTTTCTAGTCTCATTGGGAAAGGCATGTAACGTGATCGTATTTTAGCTGCCGTTATTTTCTACAGTTGATTGAACAGTTAGCGATGATCGATTTACAAAATATAATATGCAAATGAAAGTATAT